AAGATCACCTGTACATTACATTCTTTTAGCTTTGCTCCTAGAGCTCGAAAATCATTTGTGATCTTTTGAAACATATAACTTGCAGTATCATTGGTTCCTACATGAATCAACATGAGGGGAGGACGGTGATAGGGCTTGAGGAGCCTGGTGAGCCTCTGAGCGATATGGTGTATTTTTGCCCCCGGTAGGCAGCATATTTCTCGAGCCATCCCATCTGGTCTGGAAATGACAGCTTCCGTTCCTCTAAGGAGGGAGTCGCCTACTACCAAGACCTGTTTACTTTCGGGAATGACAGTGCCCCTTTTGTGCAATGTAGTGTGTAGGTCTCCAGAAAAGTGATCCTGTTGGTGTGAATTGTGTAGGTGAAAAGTGTTGTCCTCCTCCTCGACATCCCCGGTGCATTCGTCAAGGACAATCCATTGAGATTCGTCCAAGAGCCTATGGTTCTCCTGTATGTGTTCCTGTTGCACCTGGTCTATGGTTGGGGATGGTACACCTGCACGATTGTGCAAGTGTGAATGTTGTGAAGTGTTGTCCCAGTCAAGGCCATCCCCTGCACACTGATCAAGGATGAGCCACTGATCAGTATCTAAGCCATTCTGGTCTTCCCCAATATGTTGTGTTTCTTGGTCAGGTGATAGTTGTGTGAGAATTTGGAATCTATTGTGTAACTGCAGCTGAGCGGAAGTATTCTGAGGAGGCTTCCGGGTCCTATGTGTCCTTCTAAGGGTGACATTTCTCCAAGCCTGAGGGTTGTCCACATCTGAGGTGCTGTTCTCTTGAGCCTCCCCGTAATGTTGGTGTGATATGGGCTGCGTGTCTAGGACAGTGTGGTGTGTGGTGTCTAAGAACAGCTCAAGTTCCTGAATGTCCTTAAGGGTCATAATACGGTCCTCGAGTTGTCGGATCCTGTGTTCCATGCGAGTGATCTGTTTACACTTGGGGCAGATGTAATTGAGTAATTGTAGTGTGAAAAAGCTGAAAATGCCACAGCTTGTGCATGAGACGGGAAGTTTTCGTGTTTGTTCCATCTGGAAGTTGCTAATTACCTCCTCTTGGTGTGTGTTTTATGTTGTTGTCTGTATGCAGGGGTGAAAGTATAGGTTACTNGAGGTTGCTAATGACCTCCTCTTGGTGTGTGTTTTATGTTGTTGTCTGTATGCAGGGGTGAAAGTATATGTTCCTGAGTGTACGGCGGGCGACACTGGTTTATATAGGATAACCAGGAAGCCCCGCCTCTCAAACAAAGCAGTTAATTTTTAAACTCAGGAAGCCCCTCCTCTCAAACAAGCAGCACTGAAAGCAGTTAAATTTAAACAAAGCTTATCCTGAAGCAGCAGGAAACAAAATGGATTCCTGCTTCCTCAACTTCTGTGGGAACAGCTGCCCCTTGGGTTCAGACGCTGGTTTATATAGGATAACCAGGAAGCCCCGCCTCTCAAACAAAGCAGTTAATTTTTAAACTCAGGAAGCCCCTCCTCTCAAACAAAGCAGTTAATTTTTAAACTCAGGAAGCCCCTCCTCTCAAACAAAGCAGTTAATTTTTAAACTCAGGAAGCCCCTCCTCTCAAACAAAGCAGTTAATTTTTAAACTCAGGAAGCCCCTCCTCTCAAACAAAGCAGTTAATTTTTAAACTCAGGAAGCCCCTCCTCTCAAACAAAGCAGTTAATTTTTAAACTCAGGAAGCCCCTCCTCTCAAACAAGCAGCACTGAAAGCAGTTAAATTTAAACAAAGCTTATCCTGAAGCAGAAGGAAACAAAATGGATTCCTGCTTCCTCAACTTCTGTGGGAGCAGCTGAACCTTAACTTTCATCCTGTACCTTAACTTTTATTTAAAGAAACTGTGAGCCAAGAACATATCAATTTATGCTCAAATGGAACCAGAAGCAGTTTGATCTGAAAGGATGTGCCTGTAACGCTATTCTCATTTATTAGATTAGGATTTCCATTTATAATGAACTGAACTCTTATAGCAGCTCTATTCTTTCCTGGAGGGGCATACCCAGAAGGCGTTGCTGGGGGACTCCTGTTCGACAACCTGGTCATTGTGCTATGAGGTCCTCCAGGGTTCTGTTTTCTCCCCTCATGCTATATAACATATACATGAAACCGCTGGGAGAGGTCATCCAGAGTTTTGAAGTGCAATGTCACCTATATGCAGATGGCACCCAACTCTACTACTCCTTCCCACCTAAAGCCAAGGAAGCTGTCCTGACCCTAAACCAGTGTCTGTCATCTGTAATGAACTGGAGGAGAACAAACACATTGAAACTTAGACAGAGATGGTTTTGGTCAGTCAGGGCGGTTCCAGACAGCACCAAAGGGCTGTAGCCAGATTGCTAACTAAGGCTGACTAGTTAACTGTTTCCTGGCACAATTAAAAGTGCTGGTTATGACCTTTAAAGCACTATACAGCTCAGGTCCAGGTTATCTGTCTGACCACATCTCTATGTACGAACCTGCCCAGGCCCTGAGATCTTCAGGAGGCCCTTATCTTGATTCCACCTCCATCTCAACCTCAGTTGGTGGGAATGAAAGAGCGAACCTTCCTTCTCAGTGATTACCCTTCGACAATGGAACTCCCTGGCCAGGGAATCCATAATGGTTTCTGTCCGTGTGTTGGCAGATTAAAACCTTTTTATTCAGTCAGGCTTTGTTTTGTGATTTTATTGTTGGAAACCGGCCCGACTCCCCCCCGATAGAGGGGAGAAGACTGGTACAAAAAATTGCTAAATAAATAAATAAATAAATAAATTTAAAGAATAATGTTTTTAACATCAAGTCAGGAGGTGCTGTGATTTTAACTTTGATTATGTTTTAAATCCTTTTTTAAAATTTTAACTGTGAATTTTTAAATATCATTGCTATTTAATTCTGTTTTAATGTTTCTATATTTGTAGATTTTAAATTGTATTGAAATGTTTTAATGCAATCTGCTTTGAGTCTCCTTTGTTGAGAGAAAAAGCAGGGTATAAATAAATGTATTTCTAGGTGCAAAGATTACTGCAGATGCAGACTGCCGTCAAGAAATCAGAAGACGTTTAGTTCTTGGGAGGAGAGCAATGACCAATCTCGATAAAATAATGAAGAGTAGAGACAACATACTGGCAACGAAGATCCGCATAGTTAAAGCAATGGTATTTCCTGTAATAACCTACGTATATGAGAGCTGGACCACAAGGAAGGCTGAGCGAAGGAAGATAGATGCTTTTGAACTGTGGTGGAGGAAAATTCTGAGAGTGCCTTGGACCGCGAGAAGATCCAACCAGTCTCTATTTCAGGAAAAAAAAGCCCGACTGCTAATTGGAGGGAAGGATATTAGAGGCAAAGATGAAGTACTTTCGCCACATAATGAGAAGACAGAAAAGTTTAAAGAAGACAATGATATTGGGGAAAATGGAAGGAAAAAGAAAGAGGGGCCGACCAAAGGCAAGATGGATGGATGATATCCTTGAAGTGACTGGCTTGACTCTGAAGGAGCTGAGGGTAACCATGGCCGACAGGGAGCTCTGGCGTGGGCTGGTCCATGAGGTCATGAAAAGTCAGAAGTGACTGAATGAATAAACAACAACAACAACAACAACAACAAAATAAAAATAATAAAGATAATGATAATAATAACTCCAGCACTACTGTGTATCTGTCTGGGAAGGGTCACTTTCTGGCTTGGTGTCACAGTTGGTCAAAAAAGGTTTGAATATGAGGCAACTTAGATCTCCAACACTACTGGGATTATTTATTTAAGACATCTCTGTATTCCCTCCCAGCTCACAAGAGTACTTAGGAGGTGAACAAATAAAAACAGTTAAAATAGTGCGAGATCAAAAAATTTAAAAACATATAAAAATAGATTAAAAATTAAAAGCAATCATAAAAAGACCCCATGAAACAAGTTTTAAAAAGTTAAAGCCCAATAATTTCAGACACTAATGGGTATGCTGAAAAGTTCTTTGGCTATTCCTTGGAGGCTTAAAAGACTTGTGAGTTCCACAGTCAAGGTGCTGTTACAAGAAAGCCCTGTTATGTATAGCCCTGAAGATTTCAAATTTCTGGCGGGTACATATGGGAGGAGGTAGACATTCAGATCTCAGGCTGCCTAGTGATGTATCGTTACACCTTAAATAAGCACATTGAATTGACATCACTATGACTACTGTTGTCTATAAAATCAACACCTGACACCAGTCTTGGTGTTGCAGTTTGGAGAAGCCTCATGTAAATCACATTACTATACTTGCTTGAGATCTCTTTCTCTTTCCACCTCAGAAATGTTTTTTAGACCAACCAAATCAACAGACAATAGAAGTATTAGGTGCTGCTGCGAATTTTTCTCCTTTCTACAATTTCTACTTCTGTTCTCCCAGGCTACTATCAGTGTTGTTGAGTTTAAAAAATAGGATATTTTGTTGAATTACAAGACATGAGCATGGGGATGTATTTTAAATAGTAAATTCTTGACCATTATTTCACAGACACACATTTCAAAAGTTTGAACAGTGCGAATACAACAAGATTTAGGTAAGTTCTATCTAGTTCTCATAAATCTCCAAAGAGATTTTTTAGAAAATGAAAGGAATGAGCAGAAAACTCATTATTTTATATTTGTTCATTTAACTTTTTTGTGTGTGACTCAGAACTAGGAGGGTTATTACTGCTGGTGGCAGCAGGTCTCACTCAACTCACCATTCTGAAGGAGTAAATATAGCATGTCTGTGTGACCAATGCAAATGGCTACAAAACCAATTCCCATGAAGGCCAGTCCAGTAGTCTCCTCTGGGCAGTAAAGAAAGAAGTGCTTTCTTTGGGAAGAAAATGTATAAAATTATAAAATGGAATATTTTTCTGTAAAGTACTACATAAACAATTTAAAAAGCATATACAGGCAGTGCCCGGGTTACAAACATCCAACTTACAAATGATTCATAGTTAAAAACAGGGGTGAAAGAAGAAGTAAGAAAACTACCTCTAGGGAGGGAAATCAACTCCTAAAGAACTGTCATGGGCAAAAGGTGTCTTCACTGAAGCTTTATCACCAATCCTTGCTTCCATAACAAGCCACTGAAGTCCACAACACTATCCAAAACTAAAATTATTTATATATATTTGTTTGGAGTTATCACGTTAAAATGTACCTGTTCCAACTTACATATAAATTCAACTTAAGAACAAACCTACAGAACCTATCTTGTTCGCAACTTGGGAACTGCCTGTACAAACAAACTACTAAGGATATATACTTTCTATCAGGGGTTCTATATTGCATACGTAATATCATGAAAGAAAATATGTGCAGTGTGAAAACAAAATTTCATACCTTCTCAACTTCACTGGTAATCCAGAGAAGGTCTGTGCCGCTATACTTTCTACACATATCGTCTGCCTGCATCCAGTCTTGGATTTCTGTTCCATTAATGTAATAACAACTGCCATACCAGTATATCCAGCCATCTTCAGTAGGACACCTCCCACCAATCAAGCTCCCTGGAATATAAAAAGAAATGCTGAATCAGTTGCAGTTTGATTATGTTTTACTACATATGAAGGCCAAACATAATACATAACAATCAAGCAGTTTACATACAAAAGAGCAATTTTGTTCATACACTGAACAAGCTTTATTTATTTGTCCATGCTAGTAAGGGCGGTTCAGCTCTCCTATGCCCCTTCCACACAGCTGAATAAAATACCACATTATCTTTTTTGAAATGGAATATATGGAAGTGTGGACTCACATAACCCAGTTCAAAGCAGATATTGTGAAATTTTCTGCCTTGATATTGTGGGTTATATGGCTGTGTGGAAGGGTCCTTAATGTATCTAAACCTTGATGATTAAATCAAGGTCTATCCACAAATAATGATTTCTGAATTATCACAGTGACCCATGTGCATCAGTGAAAACCTTTAACAGAAATTGCTAGTATGTTTACATGTTGTTCCAATCTCCTACTCCAAATTAAGACACCGTCTTATATTTATTTTTCCCCAGGAAGATACACTATGGCTTATTTTCAGTGGGTGTCTTATTTTAATTAAGTATGGTACAACAATCTGCATTTATGGGATGATCTCTCTGGGCTCAGTAGCAGACTGCTTGCTGAAGCTTTTCCCCTATCCCCTGGTGTTTGGGTGGGGTGAGAGAGACCCACAGACTGTTGCTGGTTAGTGCTGGGGAGCAGAAGCTTTACTGGTGTTTGTGTGGCGTGAGAGAGACCCACAGACTGTTGCTGGTTGGTGCTGGGGGAGAGAGACCTACAGTGCTGAGTAAAACGGCAGCCACAGCTTTACTTCTTCTCCCTGAGGACAATATCTAAAGCAGAGCATCCTGCTCCTCACTTCACTGCGGAGACTTTTACTCTCACTTTCTATGTCACCCTCTATGCCTCAACTTGCAGCACACACAGAACGACTGGGACCTGACAGGGGGAGCCAACCTTGTATGCTACATAGCTATACCTATCACTATGTCTTATTTTTGGGGTATGGCTTATATTGCGCAAATGTTCAGAAATTTTGCTACAGTTTATTTTATGGGTATGTCTTACCTTCGGGGAAGCAGGGTATTTATTGAGTAACTAGTTTTTCATGCACACAGCAACAAGAGCATAGATAGAATAAGAAGTGTGAGGGTTCCAAAGTGTTTGTATAAAAAGCTAAAACTCAACTGACATCCAGGGAATTAAGTGCAGCAGGAAGATGTGGCAAAGGCAAGCAAAAAGATGTCTTGGTTGAAATGGAAGCCAGAGTATGCAGGGGCGGGGGAGGAACCATCAGGGTGCAATATTACCCAATCTATATAAAAACAGAGGTAAAAGGGATCGACATGTAACACACACAACTCCCCTAAATTTCTATCATTGTATTCACTCCTGAAGACTGTCTTCCAAGACAGTAGGTAGAGATCTATTTTAGTTAGGGGTTCAGTGGTCCTAAGACATCAATTGAATTGGAACCAGTTAAAATCTCAAATGATAGTCCCCATCAACAGTTCTGCAGCTGTATTTTTCACTAGCTGCAGCTTTTGAGTCTTCAAGGGCAGTCTTTCAAAGAACTCACTACAGTAGTCTAATTGGGAGGTTACCAGTTCGTGATGTCAGACAATGAACAATAAAACTGGCTATTATCAGGTTATTGGTGAAACATCATTTCAGATGTCCAAATGATTGTCCAAACAGCTTTATAATTTTAAAGAACAAATATATAGAATAAGTTTTAATGTTTATATTGTACTTTTAAGGTTGTATATTATTTGATGTCATGGCCTATGGTTGTTACAATAAACAATTCATTAATTTCATATCTCGAATTGAGTCTCCAAACAGCTTTATATAGATACTGATCATGTGATACAGAAAATAACCCTTAGGAAATGCATACACATACAGTACACAAAGGGACATTCTGCCAAGACCATATTCTGTGTGCACAGAGACTGCAATTTTATCCTCCCAATCCAGCTAGGTAGTCTCAAAGGTTACAATGGTCAAAAGTATTAAAATCCACCGAGAGTTCAGAAGAAACAGTGAATCATGCTCCCTGCATCAACCCACCAGACTGTAGGTAATAGGCTTGTGAATAGATTTGGTTCCCTTTGGCAAATCTTGCTTATTTGGCTTGGCCAGATGGCTGTAGCGGTAAGAGCTCAGCCATCACGTATTTTCATCCACTGTGGGAACACATGATAGCCTATCACAGTTCGTTCTCTCCTGTTCAGCACCAAGTGGTGTGGAGAGGCTGCTGTGTGCTGCTCACACGGGGTTTCCCTGTGAACCCTACCTGTTGGGCCAATCAGAATAGAAGAATGCCATGACATGTCTTATGCAAGTTGTGTCTAAGGAAAGAGTCCCAGGAAGCATGCTTCCTTAACCCCGTTCTTCAAACCCAGACTCCCTTGAAAGGAAAGGATCCCTGGAAGAAAAGGAATCATCGTAAGTTCCCCATTCCTGCCAACAGGCTAGATTTTCCCAGGTCTTTTGGTTGCGGATCAGAAATGGCTATTTGGCAAACCACCCATTTTCAGGAGGAGCAAAAACAGATCCGTGGGTCTCCTGGAATTCAGCCAGCAGAAACAGATCAAGGTTCAGCGAACTGCACAAGCCTAGTAAGTAGGTAATCTGATAAGCAGATCAAAGGAGTCTCAATTCCAAATCCTGGTAGAAGTCCAGAACATGTAATCCTAAAAGCTGCAGAATTCTTAGGCTGAGAGACATTATAATCCTTGAAATCTGACGGAAGTTTTAGGAAACACATATGTTCACCACACATTCCCCATTCCTGTATTATACCATAGTATTTGTGTGACACTAAGAATTCTTGTAGTCACAGGAATAGTAAAACATGACAGCACGTAAAAGGTTTGCACATCACCTTTTTCACAAGTGAAAGTTCTATCCGTTTTGTTGCAGAACAAGCTGTCTCCACACAATCCTGTATGTGGGTTGCATGGAACATCGTCATCACACGTTTGGCACTTATGCTCACACATTTTCCCAAACCTTCCAGCAGTACAATCTTTTTTTTTTTAAAAAAAAGAAATCAAAGTCTAGATTAGAATAAGATACAAAATAAATTGTAATTCACACACTAATAAGCATTTTCAACACAATGAATAGGCCTCATTTGTGGGGAAAATGTCTGAACTACATAATAAATGAATTGGGAAAATGACTTTATAGATATTTATTTATAAGGCACGAGAATAGTGAAGTTTGCTTGAATAATATCAGCATGATTTCAGAGCATTCAGTGGCTTTGAGAATAAAGAAAGTTCTGCTACACTACATTCAGATGGAACAGATGTTATGCTTTAATTTTTTGTTATCTTTGATTCTTAGAATGATTCAAATCAAGCCTTTAATCAGATTCTATTAGTTCAAAAACTTGCATCTTCTACTCACTTCAACGCCCTCCACCTTTCCCTAGCACACAGAAGCCAATGCTTTATCTACCTAATGGGACATCCAATCAAATCATCCTAAATTGCTACTATTACAAATAATTTATACAAGGTACATCGTGTTAAATCATATACATTTCAGTAAATCTATATAAATAAAAATGTAATGTTTGTTTGTGGAATTAACATAACTCAAAAACCACTGGGCGAATTGACACCAAATTTGGACACAATGCACCTATCAGGCCAACAAGTGACCATCACTCATAAAACAATGAAAACACAGTGGAAGAGACTTTAAAAGCCAAAAAAACAAATATTACATTACAATGCATGCGCAAAACCACATATATACACATACATACATACATACATACATACATACATACATACATACACAAAACACATTTACACAGACTGGGCCACAGCAACACGTGGCAGGCGACGGCTAGTAACATAATAAAATAATGAAATCTACCAACATTTTCAGAACATACCTGATTTGATCCAGGTCTTCACTTTTTTGTCCCCAGTGCTATATATCTCCATACCAGTGTGCAACATGAAATCTTTTGCTGCTTCTACCACTCCAGTACACTTTCGCAAAACTAAACAAGCATCTTTGGCTTTATCTAAAGTAGTATACTTTGGAGCTTTCCCAGTAGGCAAGTAAAAGGCTCTTCCAGTATGTTCAGTAAAGAGATCAACAACTGTTTAAAATAAATATAAATCAACTGAGAGAAAATTACATAAATATTAATATAGTAATTATTCTGCATATAAAGACAGCACAATGATTTACTTGATTTATATCCCATCTTCATCATATGAAAACAGGGCTTTTATCTGATGATTACTGTGTGTGTGACCTGTAAAATCAGTAATGGATACATGCACTCTGCTGAACCATCTGAACAAGTTGATTCATATTTTTGAATGTGTATGTATAAAGAAAATGCATGTTTGTGTTAACCTATTTTACAAACTGCATGGTTTATTAAATTAGCCCAAATGTCCCAATTTTTTTTTTGTGCTCCAGAACCCCCTAGACAGGGGTGGAGAACACAGCAACCTCTCTCCTGGCATGTGCCCCACTGCCTACCTGCCACCCCTGCTTGCTCACGTAGTTACCACTTGCTCACCCTCCCCTGTTTGCCCCACTTACTTACCCACCCAGGCTGCCCCCCCCCCCTGGTTTGGGCATTCCATTTCTAAAGGGTTCACTATAACTGCCCTATGCCATTGGGACTAAAAATGCATAATTTGGAAAAAAAAAATAGAAATTGCCCCAGAATAACTCTGGGAAGAGTAGAGTATTTCTATCATGTTATGTAGACTGTTGCAACCCAGAGCAGGAAACTGGACCCCAAGACAATAATCCACCACACTTGACTTCAGGAAAAAACAATCCTTTTTATTGATGAAAGAAGAGTACAAAAATAGAGGAAAAATGCAAGGTAAAAAGCCACAGTAAAAATCAGCAACAAGAAATGTCCATGAACAAAATCAAAAACCCACAGTACCACTGCTAAATCCTGGAACCTATTAGCAATCCACTAACCGTAGTTGAAGCACTAGAAACTCCTTGGAACAAAGCCACGGGAAGCAAGAGAACTGCAAGAGTCTGCACATGAATCTGAAACGATGCCTGGACTAAATGGGCATCCAGGCCAAGTGTTTTTAAAGCATAGAAATCTATTTCGTGACGTGCCTGAAGGCCGTGTTTGCATTTCTCTTAATCTAGCTGACCTCTGTAAACTCTGCGCTTCGCCTCTGTTTTGCCAAATCTGCCCTCGTCTATTCTCATTAGAGGGACCAGGTGGCATATTATCTGGAGAGCAAAAAGGGAGTGAAAGTTCAATGCTTGGGCTCTGAATCATTCTCATGGAAATTTGGACTTTCGCTTTCCAAAGCAGCAGGATTTTCACTACACAAACCATCATCTTCTACATTGACCTCAGAATCAGTGACACCTTCATTGACATCAGGAAATACAATCAGAGAGTCAGGTACAGGTTCACACACAGGCTGAACCCCAACAGAGACATTCAGGGCAATTTCAGTCTAGGAAAGGCCTTTTTTTGAAATAGGAAATATTTCAACAAAATTTCATGTTGTTAAAAACTAATCTTTTTGGGCCTAACATATCCCCAGAAGTCTACAAAGCATGGTGAAAATTTGTCCTGAAGTTGTTTATTATTTTTGTTATTGTTATTTATACACCATCGTTTCGCTTCAAGAAAGAGACTCAAAGCAGCTTACAGTAAAACCAAAATAATGAGTGGGATGGTGAGTGAAGGCGGGCAATGGTGCACATGTCAGGAAAGAGGGTGCTGCGTTCTCCACCCCTACCTAGGGGGTTCTGTAGCAAAAAAAAAACCCAACTTAAAACTCGAAAAACATATTATCATCAAAATAGAATGCAATATTAATGGTAAAAAATAATACTTAAAACTCTTAAACCAATGAAAAACCTATTCATAGATGAAGCGAGTGAACATAATTCCATATTTTGTCTGTTCCAACTACAGTTTCCATCCTCATGATGCACTTTCCCCCCGCCCTGAATCAAGGTCTAACCTCATTGTTTGTTCCTTTTGAGCTCCTCCTTCAGAAACACATTCTCCCACTCCTTATCTCATCCAGGATTTTATCAATTTTATCCTAGTGCATTTGGCCAGCCCACTGTGTTTTATTTCTCTATTATGTAATTTTGTAACTGTTTATTTTATTTTGTTATTTCATGTATTTTATTTTGATGTTATTTTGCGTCTTTGTATTTTATTTTGCTGTAATGCAATTTTGGGCTTGGCCTCATGCTAGCCGCCCCGAGTCCCCTTCGGGGAGATGGTGGCAGGGTACAAATAAAGATGATGATGATGATGATTATTATTATTATTAAAGACATAGCACCACCTGACTTGGTCTTTAAAATCTTCTTTAAAAGTCCTGCCTGAAAAGAAGGGTCTTAACTAGAAGGAGGTCAGGGAGGAGGCCATTCTGGCTTCCCTGGGAAGAAGGGAGTTCCAGAGCCAAGGGACAGCCAATGAGAAAAAAGTCCACTGTCTCGTTCCCACCAACCGAACTTGTGATGTTACTGATTTAGGTATATCTTGAATGTAAAAGGGCAGGATAAATAATAACTGAAACCCAAATAAAATTAATAAGACTGAAACTTGTATGATTTAATTACACTGTTGAGGAAAATGGTTTCTTTGAGAATTCTCTTGTTGCTTCTAAAACACACTCATTTATCATCCAATGATCATCTTTTATGTCAACAAATTTCCCATAGTCTCTGAGGTACTACAGAAAAACGGTTCTACCAGACAAAAACGAAAGTGCAAAAACAGAACTTCTATCATATCATGTTTGACTATCCAAATCCTCACGACTCAATATCAGTTTTTAGACAGTGTGACATTCTTAGTCAGCTACCTTTTTCTCTTTTGCAAACCCATTTTCTTAGTTGGGAACAATCTGTCACTGAAAGATACTTTTTGAAGGCAACTCCACAGTCATAAGTGGCATGTGTTTTTCTTCTGTTTCGTCTAACTACCCTGCCAACATTTAAGAGGAAGAAAAACTGTAACAATGACCTAGAAACAAATTCTTAGGACAAAGTAATATTAATGATGCTATCCAAAGCCTTGAAAAACCACAATGACTTTGGGACAATAATTTTCAAACTTCAATCAAGAATAACACAGAAATGCACTGAGCGATTACAGCTGTGAACAGTTTGATAAAAGTTTATTTATCTGAACATTTCTATACACAACCCAAAGATTCTGGAGCTTAAGACAAAACCAAGCCTTTCCAGCTTTTGAAAATCACCATCCTTGTTTAATCCTATTGACTTTAAAAGACAAGAATAAGCCTGTCTATATATGAGGTCCCTTTTCTCTTCCTTTCACAGCTTAAAGCATCAAACCAGTCTCATTTTAAATGGTATACTACAGTTTGACATTTTAAATCAGTGGTTCCAAACATTTGGTCTTTCTGGTGTTTTGGACTTCAGCTCCCAAATTCCTAAAAGCTGGTAAGCTGGCTGGGATTTTTGGGAGTTGAAGTCCAAAACACCAGAAGGATCAATGATTGGGAACCACTGTTTTACAGTGGCGCAATGGGTTAAACCCTTGTGCTGGCTGAATTGCTGACCTAAAGGTTGGTGGTTTGAATCCGGGGAGCGGGGTGAGCTCCCACATGTCTGTTCCAGCTTCCCATGTAGGGACATGAGAGAAGCCTCCCATAGGATGGTAACACATCAGGGCATCCCCTGGGCAACATCCTTGCAGGAGGCCAATTCTCTCACACCAGAAGTGACTTGCAGTTTCTCAAATCCCTTCTGACATGGAAAAAAATTTTCGATCAAGCCAGGATATGACATCTTGCTTGTTCTACAGTCTGAAGTTGGTTGAAACAGCTTGATCGTTTTTCCCAATCCAGGAAGAATAGTTTCATTGTATGTAACTGTGCTTCTTCAAGTGATCTTCTCTGAACTCACAAATATAGGTTTGCACTTGTGCAGAGACTCATATGGAACATTCCAGAGGTGAGTAGCTTTTGATGAGAACACTGCCTCAATCACAATTATGCATGCTCAGGTGCACCAAGCATTTCTCTTTCATTTTGGTCTGCTACATCATAACAGCAGGCACGACAGAATGAGGGAAGAGAGTTGTTTGCTGAGTTCATAATCATTTAAGAATCTTATTTATACACAAATATCCAGTTCATCAAAGGCTCTTTATGTTTCATCAAAAACTCTGTGTAGGGACAAGGCCTATATGTCTGTCAAAGAACCTGCAATATTAGTGAACGTGAAACCACTTGGTTTGATTTCTTACTCCAGAAAAGGAAGAATAAATGGTTCTGTGCAAAACATTTGCTGACATCTCAGCTTACTAAAATAAAATATTATTATTGAAACCACTATGGTCTGAGAGGCATGAAAGTCAGAAGAACTAGAGCTTCTCTAAATAATTTTGAAAACAAAATAAACATTTTATAGTGACTGGCAAATGTAATAGAAGTGTAATTTAATGTGAAATACTTGTCCCCACTCCTCAGCTAGAAAAAGAAAGGGGAATAAAAGAATGCATTCATTCTCCTTATTACTTCAAAAGTTGGAAGATTACTTCTCTGATAACACAGGAATATTTTAGAAAAAGACTCACCATGCATTCTGAAATACTGAAGATGAATTATCTACCCAAAAATATTGATATAACTGCTTGCTGAAAGTCAAACCAATCCAGCTGTCATCTCCTTTATACTGCACCAACATCTAGAAGCACAGAAACAATTATCTGACCCATATATCACATGGGCTTGGAATACAAATTTTGGATTAAAATGAAAGCTAGTTTTTTGTCTCACCACCTTATTCTATTTTTCTTTTAAACAGTAACATGCAGGACAGTTAAGTGGTGTCCTAAAGCCTTTTTTAAAAAAAAAATGCTAAAATAAAAAAGAATTGTACGATAATTAAGAAAATATTTCCAATATAAAGTTCAATAACTTTAAGAACCAACACTTCAGCACGCACACACACAATCCATTACATCTAACATATTTACACTCCAGATTGACAATTGTCTAAGATAGCTGATTTCATATCAACATGTGCTTTATTCAAATTCAACTTGCAGTGATATACAAATAATGATATAGTTTTCACAAAAAAAAAAACATAACAAATTAACAGCTACAGCCATAGTCTACATGGTCAATCTTGACATCAACTTTATCTATGCCCAGATGAGGCAAATGTTTCTGGATCCCTTCATTAGGTTTCTTTGAAAGCTGCACTCATTTCTTGAAAAAAAATTAGGATGTGATCATAGTATTTCAAGAACTGATGATTTATTAGCTAAACTACTAGGATTCCCTTTTCCTGCACAATCCACCTTTTAGGATACTTAGGTCTTCTGGCAGATGCTTACTCCAACCAACCAGAACCCGACTAGCAACTGTCACTCAGAAAACCTTTTCATCGGCTGCCCCACAACCGTGCAATAACCTGCTGGAAGAGATCCGAAAGCTAAACATGCTTATTATTATGTGAAGAGTAAAAAAATTGTATGTCATACCTTTTCATGGCTGTTTGCAATTTTAACTAAATCTGTTTCCTTATATCCTTGGCAAGCAATTCGGGCATTGGCCCATGTGTCGGTTTTTGAATCTTCCACATAGTAACATGATGTTGAATAATAGTACCAATTCGGGATCTTTGGACATGGGTTTATGAAAACTTAAAAATCAAAATAGTATTTAGTATGAGGCAAGGGGGGGGGGGAACAGATGTAACAGCACAGATGTGAACATCAATGAAAGCTCTTCTATTTGTTAATAGACCATAATAATAAAATATTATATTTAAGCATTGTTTCTCTATCTCTAAACATTCGTGATGTATAGACATTGTCTGAAAAGTCCTCCCAACAGCTGTTAAAAGTTGAGCAACATTATACTTTTGGGTTGTTGTAGGTTTTTTTGCGCTATATGGCCATGGTCTAGAGGCATTCTCTCCTAACGTTTCGCCTGCATCTATGGCAAGCATCCTCAGAGGTAGTGAGGTGAGGTATACTTTTCATATTACAGATAAGTAGGGACCACTGAAGGAGATTGGCATGATTAGGGATCCCTACTTGGTGTGTGACTCAGGCCAAAATTCAATTGCTAGCACCAATCAGAGTGGACCCACAGAATCAGTGGAAAACCTACACCATTAGTGACTCCTTGCTCTTTTACACTGAAGGAAAAAGAGAAAGGAATACAAATCTGCATGCTACTATTTATTGCAGTAAGTGATTTGATCCTAGCAACTACAATATTCAGAACCTTTTGTTGTAATTATTTAAAAAAATAGACACAAATCTTAAGTTGACATCATCATTTAAAAGATAGAAAGGGGAAAATATTTTAAAAGCCATTAGTATTGGGATTTCAGATGACAGATAAAGAAGGAAAGAAAAGTGAGAAGAGATATTAATAGAAAGGCAAATCGATAGAATTCATACAATAAGAGAATACATGACACTTGTTTCAGATCATCCGTATTTTTACCTTCATCAATGCACTTTGGATCTGGAGAGTCTAACCCACACTTGGTGAGGCCCGTGCCCACACATTCTCCAGTAACAGAATTACAAGGAAGGTTATTTTTACATTTCTTACAACGGAATTGACAATTTGTGCCAAAAAATCCAGGATTGCAAACTAGAACAAAATTTCAGACAGCAATGCAACTGTATTATAATTCAAACGCTTGCCTGTTATGCTATACAAAGCCATATACTTAATCACAGAGTCATTAACCCTGGCAAGCTGTTCAATGGAATATAGTACAAAGATTATAATAAGATTTGGAATTTGCTATGTCAGATACTTTCGATATTTCCTCTAGACACACACTTCAAATTGCTATACTTTTTCTCTAGAACAAACATTTTTAAAAAAATTGTCAGACCTGCTATTTATATTGGCACTGACAAATTTTGGATTGGTCAGTAAATATTTGCTTTCTGGGCAGACAAATGTTTGATCTACTATATGTATCATTGGAGCTGAATTTAACTAACATGTTAAGACATTAGTGGACATATTGGGGCCTCCCCCTACCCCAGCCCCTCCTCACAGCCTGCTGGCTATGATGGTGAAAACGACAATGTAAGTAGATGAATAGGAACCGCATTGAGCGGGAAGGTATTTTAGGCACGGCGTTTGGAGGAACGTAATATTTCAGAAATATGATCAAAGAAAGCTCTTCGGCAAGGAGATTGAGTGACAGCTCCCCTGTGGCCGGAACTGAGCACAGCCTGCAAAAGATGCTGAATGAAGAGAAAAAGCCTCAATATACCACTATCTGTTGTCTGTCTTGTCATTGTATAATCCGCATTGAATGTTTGCTGTATACATGTTCTGTGATCCACCCGAGTCCCCTTCGGGGTGAGAAGGATGGAATATAAATACTGTAAATAAATAATAAATAAAACTGCATAGCTCCCAAGGAGGTCCTGCCCATTGATAACAAGGAGTGGGAAGGAAGTGTGAGTGCATCCTGCACTGACCCACACAACCCCAGTTTAACAGCAACTCTCTATATGGCACATTCCCACATGCACTGTTCTCCTTCCATAGCTTCTACTGTAAAAATGAAAAAAAGTTTGAAGCTGGCTCAAGGGTGAGGTGTCCAAAAAACATACATCCACAATATATGTTGCAGTGCACATTAAATCAGAGAGAGTTTGTCAGAAAGTCTGGAATACGTCAAAATATCCACTACAGCTGACCAGAGTATATCCCATGCGAGGAATGAATCCAAACCAGAAAAATGTGGAGGACTTGCCAAGACACCCTTAGTACTGATACATTTTAAAAAAAACAAAACACCAAACACAGCTGTCTGGAAGGTAAACAAATATTCCCTCATGGGAACTCTTGCTTTTGCCCTATTTGTTCTCATTTCTTATGTTCTGCCACGGTCTAGTGCCAATTCCAAATGGACATGGATTATTGCATCACCCCATCTCAGCAGATTAGATAAGAAAAAAATCCTGGGTCCCATTTCATTTTCATTCAGCAGATACTATGGCCAAACCTAAGCATCAAACCAATTCCTGGGGTGATTATGTAGGCATTCTGCAGCAGAATAGGGTTAATTATTTTTAAAGTAAAATAATAATTAATGATTAAAAAACAAGATACCAAATATGCTAAAAATAGAGTTGTGAATTCATCTGCATTTCCCAAGCTCAGGAAAAGAGCGCATTGGTAATGAATGATCGCAATTTATTTTAAATGTATCTTTGCATTACTTGGCTCCTCTTACAAATGTGAGGGGCTAAATCAGAGACCTTTGGTCTGTGGTTTGGTTATAACTGTCTATGATTCATGATATTTCACTTATCTCTTCCCTGAAAAATAGTTATGAGCCATGATTTGTTGTTGGCATATAGAACTGGCTTCTTGAGGACAAACTCAAGTTAAGGTTTCCAGTTCTTTTGTAATAGGAAAAGGAACCATGGTTAGCTCCTTTCTGTAGTGAGAATAATCAGGTACTGTCACACATTAACAGAGTTATTACTATGTGTGAACCAGTGAATGCAGGAGTTGCTTTAGTAACTCACCTGTCTTCAAATACAATTTGTCTTCTACACTGAGGCTTTTGAATATTTTCTTTCCACTGACCGTGTAATACTTGCCCTGTGAAAAGACTACACCAGTACACATAGTTCGCTCATAAATACATTCCTGTTCAGCAGATCCCAAAATATAGAAGCTTATTGGTAATGTCTTCTGTCTTTGTGGTATTATGTGGCCCTTGTACTCCTGGAATATGTTCACATCTGTTCACAAAAAGAATCATGTGTGTTCAAAATAATACATTAAAATAATAGATGTTTACCTCTTTTTTGGACACCAATGATTTTACAGGGGTGGGTTCACTATGATTTGTCTATTAGTAGACCCTCATTTTAAGTTCATACAGTATATTGAACATGGGACTAACTTTGAAGAAAATATAGAAAAAATTGAAAGAGGCTTGCATCTCATCAAGGTAAAACACTCAAACAGATTTGCTAAGATCGAGAATGGATGGCTATAAGGTAACTGGGCCCCCTACTTGAATAAAGTGAGATCATTGTAATAATGGCTACACTCTGGGGGAGTGTGTCCCTGGTGGTGCTTCTAGACCTCTCAGTGGCCTTCGATACCATCGACCATGGTATTTTTCTGGAATGCCCAACAGGGCTGGGAATCAGAGGCACTGTGTTGCGGTGGTTCCGGTCATACCTCTCAAGTACTTCTTCCTATGATTTGCAAAATGGCTGGGACTGAACAATGGAAGTATTAAGTAATTTGGTGCATGTCAATGCCTCGCTTGCATTTGAAGAGATAAAATATTCAAAAAAGATACAGAAGCAGAAAAACAGAACAAAAGGTTAAAACTTACGTTCTGGTCTTGCACATATAAAGGATAATTTCTCACTGCATTTTGCTGATTGGAATTTTAACTTATTTTTTAGAAGAGTGCCACAACTATCAACTGTATCTCCTTCAATCTTTAACCTAAAAAATACAATATTAAATTGTATGTTTAGGGGAAAATTCAACATTATACATTGCATCTGATGTCAATAATTAGTTTTCTGAAAGGCTATTTTGAGCTTATGACTATGCTGGCAAATTCTATTACCACCAGAACCATTCGCTCCATACTTGTATTTCAACAATTGGTGAGAGCACCAGGCTATGCTGTTTTCATTGATGCACTTGAT